CGCTTGGCAAAATGTCAAGACAAAGCTGTGATGCCACTTTATATTATATTCTATGTCATACCTATCATCGTGTGCTACACTCAAAAATATAACTAAAATAGGAAAGATTAAAATTTAATCATTTTATGCTTAACCAATGTTTATACATTGCTTCGATTATTTTATTTTATCAAAATTACACTAAGTCCGACTACTAGCGAAGAATTCGATCAGTGTGTATCGCTGACAGCAAAGCTGTGCAAGAATTAAAAGTGCTGAAGGACGAAAACTGTTTTGAAAAGACTCCATTATCGTTCCAGCCCTCTCGTCAAGCTTCACACGCTGCAGGATATGTTGACAATCAAGAATAGGAATTCCTGGCCTCGTCTTTATCCATAGTTCACCAAGGAGTAAATAAAGCTTTAGTAAGTATTGAAGATTTGAATCAGTTACGATTTGAGAAGAATATTTGAATAATAATTTTGTTTTTAGTTTCAAGCAACGTTGGCAAGCAAATGAGCCCAAGCACCACAATATCCAAAATACAATTGCACCATGTTTGCAAGCTTTGGACCTTCGTGGCACCGAATGAAGATGACCGGTTTTGAAACGGTGAAGAACTGCTGGTAAGGTAAATTAAACAGTTTCGCTTGCCAAGTGCCAACTCTAAACTAAATCCAAACATCCTCTCTTTCCAGGCCGGTTACAACGCCAAAAAATATGAACCTGAATCCGATCACTCGCTTGTGCCATTTGGTTTGCACCATCACGGTCAATTTCTTCCGCATATTGGACCCTAGGAGGTTAACTATAAAGACACTCCGAACTTGAACGAAACTGGCGCGGATCGATATCAGACCGTTTGAACAGTTTCGGAAGCGTGAGACTACAGTTTTGAAATCGCCATAGGCCAAGAGATTGTTTGACCCGTTGATGGATGTGCAGTGTAGATTTTGCTAGGAGACTCGGCTGTCCTGTCAATATAAATCCTATGGAAACGACCAACACGAGGAATCACCGGATAGCAACTGATCCAAGTTGCCACATCTCTAACAATGCCCACGGAAATCACACAGATAACATTTTGTATACCCACTATTGCACTTTTTTATCGGTTCGAATTTTCTGCATATCATTATTAATTAATCGAGTTTATGTTATATGATTTATTATGATAAATAATAATTGACAATAAGTTTGTTCCTGTAACATTTTTATTATGTTTCAAATTAATAACATTGGAAATATCACTGACCAGCACATAAAAATACTATTCATGGAATAAATCCCCTTATGCATCATTTGAATATTCGCACATTACATTACATTACATTACATTTTTATACTAAGTCAGTTTTCTCTCCCTTTATACCAATCTATGCGTCGGTCGGGAGAGTTGCGATTTAGCGTAACTTTTAATCTATTTAGATTTGAAAATCTTTTGAGTGTAAGATGTGCTTCGGCATAAAGTATGGAACACGAAAAATTGGTCAACTTCAAATTGGTGTTTCTGTTTAAAATGCATAAACAAAACCTGAAATGCTGCATTTGGAAGTTGAGTGTATATACAATGGTTGCTATGATGAGTTTTCATCGTTTGCTCTCCAGTTTTCAAAATGACGTCCAAGCAAGAGGAGCAGCGTGTCAAAATTTTGCTCGCGCAGCAAGAGAATCCGATGTTCTCACACGCCAAGTTGGCAAAATTGCTGCATGTGGCCAAATCAACCGTGACAAACGTTTTAAAATTGTTCGGGGAGCGTCCGTCGACCGCCAAGAAGCCTGGAAGCGGCGGCAATCGTAATCCGGACGTGGCAGCGACGACTAGGAAGGTGGCGGTGAAATATAAGCGGAATCCTAACCTCTCCATCCGGAACGTCGCTGGCAAGCTCAATGTCTCCTATACTACTGTGCAGCGGGCCAAGAAACGAGCCGGGTTGTCGACATTTAAGAAGGTGAAGGTGGCGAACCGAGATTACAAACAAAACACGTCGGCAAAGCAGCGGTCCCGAAAGCTGTATACGAATCTGCTCACAAAGTTCGACTGTGTCGCCATGGACGACGAAACTTATGTGAAAGCGGATTTCAAGCAGTGTTCGGGACAGAAGTTTTATATCGCATCAGGAAAAGGGAATGTGGCTGAAATTTTCAAAACCATCAAACTATCAAAGTTCCCGAAAAAATATCTTGTCTGGCAGACCATATGCACGTGTGGTCTAAAAAGCGGCATCAATCACGAGATCTACGTCCAGGAGTGCCTGGAAAAGCGGCTGCTACCATTTCTAAAGCAACATAATAGACCTGTGCTGTTCTGGCCGGACTTGGCAAGCTGCCACTATGGGAAAAAGGCAATCGAGTGGTACGATGCGAACAATGTGGTAACCAAGGACCACAACCCTTCCAACAGCCCAGAACTCCGCCCTATCGAACGGTATTGGGCCTTAGTCAAAAGGAATCTCAAAAAACTAATAAATCCATGGAAAACGAGCAGCGGTTTAAATCTAACTGGCGTTCTGCGGCGAATAAGGTCGATGAGACCACTGTGCAAAATTTAAGGGAAGGGGTTAAACGGAAGGCATGGCATTTTTTCCTTTAAATATATGAATTGAACTACCAAAAGAAAAATAATAAAATTTTGTGATATAAATTTTGACTGAAAGAAACGATTTCTTTGTCGACCAATTTTTGCCAGTCTTTAGTGTACAGAGTTGACTACCGGTTGTGCTAGATGTTTGTTTACTAAAGTTATGATGGTTTCTGTGTACCAACAACCCATTTTTATACGACACTTTTCTTCAAATGGAGCAAGATTTTTTTCTGTTATCTGGATAAAATGTCTGCATTTGAATCAACTTTGAACATATGCCAATTTTTTTAGAATTGTCCCAACAATTTGAATCAACAACAAAATTCCTCAGAGTTCATCTTAGGTATTCCCTTCCCAAGTAACAATATTGGTTTTATAATGGTTCTGTAGACCATGATTTAGACTGGTAGAATGATATAAAACCTCTATAAAGCTCGCAATGTTACTTGGGTTACAACTTGCTCCATAAGTATCTAGAAATTCTCTCTAGAACGCTCTTTGATTCACCCTGCAATTATCATAAAATTCTTATCAATTATCACTATTCAAAAGAATTCTCCTGAAAATATATCTCCTCTAAGTATTCCCAATTCCTACCCTAGCAGCACACTTGTCACTGAACAATTGTGGAAAATTGTGTACAACTGATTCCGGTCACATTCAAGTATCAGCAACTTATTTCGATCAAAGTGTGCCGCTTGGGTATGAAATAATCTTCGAAATTCCTTCTAAATTTCACTCAGAATTCTCTTGGAGTGGTTCCATGAATACCTTGATATAGTCCTCAGAATACCCTAGGAACTCATCTTTGAGTTCTCTAAAGAATATTACAGAAATAAGCTGGAAACACTCGTAGCATTCCTTTGAAATTAAACTCAAAACTTTGTTGGAAATTTCCTTGAAACTTTCGTCAAAACTTCTTTTAAATACTCCTAAGAGTATTGTTTGGTCAGAACTATCTATGAATTTTATTTGGAATTTCCCTTGGAATGCTATATAGAATACTCCTGTAAATTGATCATTTTGTCAAGCTTCTGCATTCATGTTCCATCAGATGTCACAGCTGTTGTTTGCGGTGACATCTATCGGAAACTACACACAATCTGTTTTCCTATAATTGTACACAGAGGACACTGCAGTACAAAACATGTCTGGTACCTCTATATATGCGTTTAGATTATTATTCGAAGTCCCTCCTTTTTTACACATTCTGCACACAAAATAGCTCACCCCTCGCAGAATTTCCCGCCGAATTTTATGTATGGGCGGGGCATAAAGTATCTTTTGCGCAGAATATGTAAAAAAGGAGGGACTTCAAATGTTAAAGCAAATGTATATATTTATAGAGGTACCAGACATGTTTTGTAGTGTCAGGTACTCTATTTTGTAATCTGTGAAAGGGAAATCACAAATCGAGTATCAACAAAATACATGGCATGTTGAGAGATTGAGCTTGTGAGAGAGAATTTCTCTCTCAAATTTGAAATTTTTTAGCTCTCTGGGGACTGGTAGTAAAGCAGGTAAAATTGTATGGGGAAAAATCATTTTTATTTAATTGTAGCTTGTTTAACAATAATTTCCGGGAAAAAAGTGAACGACAAAGTCCCTTACTAATGTCTTTAGATTGTCGTTCACTTTTTTTGAACTGAATATGCACCGAAAGTAAATTCCCTCTTCTCTCAATTTCTATATGGAGATTTTTATCACTTCCTACCAGCGGAACAGCGCCATCTCTGTGGAAAGTGGTCGGACGAATTGATTAATTAAACGCTTCCATTGGGATTATGAAAGTAAAGCCGTTGGTCCCAGCCCATGTGCGATACAGTGTGGAAGCCGCATCCCTGGCATTTGATTGCCGTCAATGGATGGCAATCGATGTCCGTCGGTGATTGGCACTCGATTGCGGAACAGAGACCGACGTTAAATAAAAGAATGAAGAAGAAGAAGCTTGCGAACAAATCTCGATGCACATTTCAAATGGTCCAATCTGCTTTGATCGATTCTCTTCTTCATCGCCTTTCTCTTTTTATAACCACTGCTATGCAAACAGATTTCACGCTAATTCTACCACATAGTTTGATAAAGGAGGTTCTTATCTAGCGTCCAAAACGTCAAATACAACAGGGAAAAGTTTAGCAGCTGAATTATTGACAACAGAGAAAGTCGGTGAAGAAAATCGATCAATGCAGATAGGACCGTTTGAAATTTTTATCTAGAAATTTGTAGTCAAATACAAAGTTTAACTTTTCAGTGTCAGCACCTCTTTTCAGTACAAAATGAAATTTCGGACTGATACCGGAAGACTAATCCTTTTTCTTACACCATTACCAACATATTAACGAAAATTGATCGACATCCGTAAAATGTGTACAACTGTCGCAGAGATGTCTGACAAACAGGCAAACGCCAAATACCATTTCAATATAAACTCACTCACCTGGATGACGGTTTTCCGCGGCCCGTGTCCGGCGTGGTGCAACTGTTGCGATAGCTGACTCTGGTGCTGCTGGTGCTGGGCGGCCGCGGCCTGCTGCTGACTGATGATCGGTTGCAGCGGCAAGGGCAACTGCAGGGGCAACTTCGGTGCCAACTTATCCGGCTGTGACAGTGGATTGGTGTTGTTGGCCCGCACCAGGTCCAGCGCTAGCAAGGCTTTCGGCCCCCCGGGGGTAAAGTAGACCTGTTGATGGTGCTGTTGCTGTTGCAGCTGCAGTGTGGTCGGTTGTTGAGAAACCTGCTGAACCTGCAGCTGCTGGTTGGTATGGGTGCCGATGGGCTGGGTAAAGGATTGCGACTGCTGCAGGTTCTTGTTCTTGTCCACCATCGGGTGGATGGTGTCGGTCAGCGGAGTACGGAACGTGGCCGACCCCAGATTGGCCGATTTGTTCTTCTGGTTGTCCAGCTTCTTCTTGCCATGGGAGGCTGCTAGTCGCTTCCACGAGAGGGCATTGATAAACAGGGAATGCTTCTTGAGATTCTTCTCCAGAGCATTCTTCTCCGAGAGAATACGAGCACTGTCGGTATTACTGTTGTTGTTGTTGTTGTTGTTATTATTATTATTGTTGTTGTTGTTGTTGTTGTTGTTGCGTTCCTGTATGCTGTTGCTATTGTTGTTGCTGTTGATGTTGTTGTTGATGCTGTTGATGTTGGTGCTTCCGTTGATGTTGGATTGATGGTTTTGCTGAAGCATCATCAAAGTTCCTCCATTGTTCGTGTTATTGTTCTTGCCGTCGTCTTTTCCTCCAATATTTAGATTATTGTTGTTGTTGATGCTATTGTTGTTCGGTACCGCCTGGATCAGATTGGGCGGTTTAGTGTTCTCTCGGTTCTTAACGTTGTTCAGCTGCTCGTACGAATAGTTGTTCAGTGGGAAATCTGCGGAATTCGACGAGGACAGCGTTCCGGCGCTGTGGTGATGCGTCGAATAAATGGGTCGACGCTCCCGGGGACTGAAGCTTAGCACTGTACCCATTTTTGCCAACCTCAACTCGTCTACCAAAAGCACTGCAGAAGATGAGGGAATTTTGCGATGAATAATTTATCGGACCACGTCGGATGAAAAATTCTATCAACACAAGGGAAACTTCTCTCCTGAGGATTCCTCTTCTATTCCCTTTTCACTGAATTTTATGTAACTACAAAAATCGACAACTTCTTATACTGCACACGTATATCCTATTCTTCACACACAGTCGCTCTCGTTTTTGCTCTTGCTATGTATGTTTGTCACATTCACGCCTTCCTACAACCCTCGATTTTCAACTATGTCACAACACCATCTCATCGAGAGCGAATTTCCTCTATAATTGAAACATCCGCCAGCTACTACTCCAAGATCCGTCCCGTAAACTCACCGCACACTCACGACCGATGTTTCTTTTCGACGAAAGCAGCACAGAAAAAAAAGTCAGTGTCTTACTTCCGTTGGGTAATGGAAATCCCAAAGCGATCAAACTTCCGGATTGTGAACGCCAGAAACGGGGACACAATGGGTGGTAGGCTGAAAATTGCTGAACACAATTTTCCTCCAAGCAACAACACGCACACACTGCCACTTGTATTCCTAGTTTTCACACGCCAACGGTGCAATCTAATAGGGACACACGGCTACACACACGAACCGATCGAGGTATTGAAACACGCACTTTCAGATTTTCCGTTTTGCTTCGTCCCCTAGATGTGCCCTCGATTGGGCAAAACTGACCGATGTAAATCTGGTTTCTCGTAAATGTAAAACGAAAACGGTCAACGATTCGAATTAATTTATCAAAAAGGCCATAGCACGCGCCTAAAATGTGAATCATCCACTGCTGCTGCTCCTCTGATGCTCCAAATCAATAGGGGAGGTATTGTTATTTCCCTTTTGGGGTGGAATTTTCACTGCACTGCACTGTCAAAGTTTTTCCATTTGTATTAAGGGTATCCTATTCAGCCTCGTCTACCATTATCCAAAAAAAAAGGATCCGATTTTCAACTCCTTCCAGCTGAATTCCTCACGATTCTACACTATTTGAGTCGACTACTCAAGCTCTACTTTAATTTGCACAGCAAACTACACTGGGATAGGTCCCAAAAGCCACAAAATTTTGATGTTATATCAAAACGCAAATATGGAGGACCACCGAGTCTCCCGCACACTGGTTCTGATATAAATGACGATTCGGGAAAGTCGAAATTCGATTCAGCACAACCTGCGACCTGCGAAACAGTGCCGCACCATCACATGGACAAACCCCAATCCTGATGATGGAAAAACAGCCCACCAATACGGACATCCCTCCGCAAGAAAGGACCGAGCTGTGGCTTTTCCTGTATAAAACTTGCTTTCTTACACTTGTCGTCCACCAACACACAAGTCCGCGAAATCGATTCCTCGTGCGACGGCGCATAATCACCTCCTAGCGAGGAGTCATTCCAAACAACCTACACAGCCATGGCAGCGCGAACAGAACATGTCCCTTCTGCATGCCTGCCATACACGAAACCAAACGTGCCGACGGAAACAAAACCAATCAACCACCAAGTCCCCCCGTATCTCTTCCCCCTCCCAACCAATCAACCACGATAAACACGTTGCCTAGCCCACTGTGCATGGGGTGGCGACCGACCGACGGTCTGTGTTTATGCTGCAAAACACCCCATTTGCCACCCACTTTCGGGAGAGAGCGAGAGAGAAAGAAGGAAGGGGGTTGCTCCTGCTCATGGAACGCGTTGTTGTTGCTAGAGAGAGGTTTTGCATTCTTCCATTTTCTCTCTCTCTTTCGTTTACGATTAGATGCATTTGCTATGCTTTTGTTCTTGCTTGTGGAAAGTTTGTTTTGTATTTGGCAGTGCTACAAGGAATAAATTGACGTAATGAAGAGCATCTTTCGATATTTTCAATAAATATTAGCTGCATCTAATTGGTACCGTACTAAAAGTTGATTGCCAGTAAACGGCTGATCAATGCATACCAGTTGGAATAAAATAAACCCTAATACATGGAGCAGCTTCGCAAATGTGCCTTGTTTTCGATAAAATGTTCCCTAAACCATTACATTAATAATAACATAACATTCAATTACCGCGTAGCTACCTAGAATTACAGACGCTTCTTTTAGAAATCCGCATAAATGCGAACCATTAAATGTTTTCTTGCTAAAATGTGATGTTGACATGGTGTCCATCCAACCGGGAAAACCGGGCAATCCGGGAAAAAACCCGGGTATTCGGATTTACCCGGAAAAATGCGGGAAAACCCAAATTGCACTGGGAAAGATCATATATACTCAACTCAAGTAACAATTTTGATTTTATATTAGTCTTGTAGGCCATAATTTGGTCTTGGAGAATCCTTTAAACCTTTAAACTTATAATGTTACTAGGAATCAATCAACTTTATAGCACATACATCATTATATCCTCTTGCTTACAACTTTCATATTAATCTTTTCTCTCACTCGCAATTTGTTCGCGCCCGGATCAAGCGGTGATTTTGTTGTTGTTCGATAGCTAAATTTATAGAATTTCATATGGTATCATTGGAATGCATATGGTTTCATATGGTGTCATTGCTTGAATTATTTTGCCACAGTTTTCCGAGTGAAGTAGTTCTAGTATAAAGGCTGAGCGAGACATATCCGAAGCTACTTCAAGATAGAGAAGCAGATTCATGCCGTCTCAAACTCCTTGCAAACTCCAATCATGCTTGGCATGCAAATGTTCGACACCGGACATTAATTAAACATTAATTTCTGCACGTTGTACTAACCAGAGACCAAGATTAGGACATCCTTGAATACCGAGGTTAGTCTGTAAAACATAAAGATCTGAATCCATACCTCTCACTCCAAAATCATGAGTTCAAATCTCACCCGGATAAAGCACGAATGATTCAAGAGTGTGAAAATTACTATAAATAAAAAAATACTTTCCTTGAAATTTTGCTAAGCATTCTCAAATCATCCTCTTGGAATCCTGTTGAGATTCTATTAAGATTACTTCAAAAATCATCATTGGAATTTCCTTGCATTTCTCTTCTCAATTCCAATCCCCAATTGAGAATAACATATTTTGACCTTTCTACATATTACATACTGTCAATATTGGGAAAATATCAAAAAATTAAATCTCACAAGCGCCCAAGATCACGCTTAATTTTCGTAGACAAAAATCAGCAAGCAAACAACTGCGGTTGATTTTGCAAGCTGTGATATCGCAGCTCGGAATATCAAGCTAACAAAACTCACCAGCTGCAAATCTCAACAAACTGTGGTGAGATTGAGTTTAATGATTTTTGCTTTACACCCAAATGCAACCGAAACTTCTATAACGGCTGGCAGCAGTCACTTCGTGTCTGCCATCGGTAGAGAAGAAAAAAGAGATAGCAAACTATACTTACTCTATCTAAGAAAATGATGTGCAACGGAATCATTTTTGTGTCGAGTCAACTCTCAGCTTGACGTTGTGAATAGTCTCGCAATATCGAACGAGCTTGTAAAATCAATATCAAGCATGATATTTTGTTTTGTTGTGAACTTATATTCTAACATATCGTAAATTATTCTATGCTTTCTTAATTTGTTTGAATTAAAGATCGCGAATTACTAAGTACCTGTATTGAACAAAAAAAAAAGTCCAATATCTCTAAAATGTAGACCAGAATCTTACAACTTTCAAGATTTACCCAGGATTTTCCACCACTCCCGGGGACATCCAAAACCCCTGATACCCAAAATTTTAAGAACAGAAGCCCCTTCTTCATCTGGGTTGTTCTCATTTGATGACATTGTGGACGGTATCCTCAAGTACCTCGATATTTCTGATCCTCTGAAAAGCATTGTTCTGGCAATGCTTCCTACTGTGAAGACCCTCTTGAAGCAATTGACATTGAAGTGGCCCCTCCTTGCAGCAATCATTTCCTTCGATGGATAATTTTCCAAACGAGGTCGGGAATTTGATCACTGTTCTACAGTGGAATTGTCGAAGTCTTATTCCTAAATTAGACTCTTTTAAGTTTTTAGTTCACAATAATGATTGTGATGCATTTGCTCTTTGTGAAACTTGGCTCTCTTCAGATATTGATCTTCCTTTTTATGATTTTAACATTATTCGACTGTATCGTGAGGATTCGCGTGGAGGAGGGGTACTTTTGGGGATCAAAAAGTGCCATTCCTTCTATAGAGTGAATCTTCCACAATTTCCAGGTATTGAAGTTATCGCATGTCAGGCTAATTTTAAAGGTAAGAGCCTTTGTATTGCTTCTGTTTATATTCCTCATAGAGCCGTTGTTAATCGAAAACAACTTTCAGATACATGTTCGGTACTTCCAGCTCCACGGTTGATTATGGGAGATTTTAATTCCCACGGTACAGGCTGGGGGGAACTGTATGATGACAACCGTTCTATTTTTATATATGACCTCTGTGATAACTTCAATATGACAATTCTTAACAATGGAGAAGTAACACGTTTGGCTGGTCCATCCTCAAATGGAAGTAAATTAGACCTCACACTTTGCTCTAACTCATTATCGTTGGATTGCACGTGGAATGTGATCCAGGGTCCCCACGGTAGTGATCACTTGCCGATCAAAATTTCGATTGCCAGTGGGTTCAATCCATCGGAATCTGTTAACGTCGCGTACGACCTCACCTGTAATATCGATTGGACAACGTTCAAGACCACCGTTGGAGGAATATAACTTCCTCTCCAATCTGATCTTGGACAGCGCGCTTCGAGCTCAAACTCGGCCGGTTCCTGGAACGTCTTTCCGTAGGAAACCTCCTTCCCCTTGGTGGGACCACAATCTCATCGCAGATCTGGCGACGCTGGGCGTTAAAGCCGAATTCAAGTTGGGCAGAGTCGGCACCAAGGTTATGCTCCGTACGAAAGCGGAGTATGACTTGGTCGTTGCCCACCCGAGGACTTCCAAGGTGGAATTTTTCACCCATGACATTCCCGGTGAGAAACCATTCAAAGTCATCATCAGGGGTCTACCGAACTTTGACCCGAAGTTGATCGAAGCGGAAATCAAGAACCGCTACAAGCTGGCCGCAACTGCCGTCTTCCGGATGACAACGAGGGGAGAACGTCAAGAAGTATCCGGATTGCCTTTTCCTGGTGCATTTCCAGAAGGGAACGGTGACGCTCAATGCGTTGAAGGCCATCCGTTCCATCAATTCCATGGCGGCCGTCACGACGTCACCCAGTGTCAGCGTTGCCTGAATTTCAGGCACGGCACCCGAAACTGCTTCGTCAAGCCTCGCTGTGGCAAATGCGCCCAAAACCATGTCTCATCCGAGTGTGTTGTCGACGAGACTGTGATGGCGCTCATTAAGGGCCCGACAACATGGCATTCAGAGTGGAGGACTTCCCACCTCTTCCTGCTACGCAACACGGTCAAGCAAATCCGGGGGTTCAATCCGGCCCCCGTCAAGAAACGTCTGGTGCTTCTACTGGACAAAGCTCCCCATCCCCCCCCCCCTGGATTCTGGAGACAACCTTCACCACAAAACGTCAATACCGATCTCTTCTCTGCGGATGAGCTGATGAAGATTTTCGTCGACATGCTCTTCGTCAGTGCCGCAGCAAGCCCGAACAGATCCAAGTGCTCGGTAAGTTTATTATTCAGTATGGTGTCTAAACCGATAACTGTCGTCACATGGAACGCTTGCTCTGTAAAAGCAAAAAGACTCGAGCTTGCTGACTTCCTCCGCAAGCATAGTATCGACGAGACGCATCTTAAATCCGGTGACAGCTTTTGGTTGCCTGATCACCAAATTATCCGGCTTGAGCGTATCGACTCCAGGGGGGGTGGTGTTGCGATCATCATCAAGAAAGGAATCAAGTCCTGCACGCTGCCGCATATCCGCACTTCTATCATCGAGGCCCTTAGTATGGAGGTGGAATCACCAGCCGGAAACGTCCGGTTTATCGCCGTATACTGCCCTCGTCAGTGTGCTGCCAGTAATGGATTAGGCATCCAATTCAAGAATGACCTGACCACCATCACTTGCACGAGCTCACGATTCGTCATTGGGGGCGATTTAAATGCCCGCCACGAAGCATGGCGGAACTATCAGCGGAATCAGAACGGACGTCGGCTCTTCGACCACTCGCAGCATCAGCTGTATACAGTGAAATCCC